TCCTTATTGATTTCCTGTCTTTTGGATCTGTCCATTACTGATAAGGGATCTCGATGTTTTCAACTGTTATAGTTGACTAATGTTTTTCTCCTTGTAGTTGTATCCATTTCTTTCTGGGTGTTTTGGGGTGTTCTGTTTTTGGATATACACATAATAAGTATTATGTTTTGGAATTAACTCGTGTAATTTTCTCTTATAATTTTCCTTGCTCTGAAGTCTGCTTTGTTTGAAAGTAATATAGCTCCTGCAGATTTCTTTTGATTAGTGTTAGCATTGTTATGTCTTTATCACTTTAACCCATCGGTGTCTGTATTTAAAGTGAGTTTCTTTTAGACAGCATACAGTTGGATATTGTTTTTATGTTCACCTGGACAGTCTCTTCTAATTGGTGTATTTCAACCATTGATGTTTAAAGTGATTATTGATAAAGTTGGAGTAATACCTATCATATCTGTTACTATTTTCTGTTGGTTGCCTTGTTTTTGTCCTTTTTTTTTGTCTTCCACTCTTTTGGCATTCTGGTAATAATTGAGCATTTATTATTTCTGCTTTTTTTTTTTTCTCAATTAGTAGATCCTCAATTACCATATTTGTGATACCTTAAAAACTTTTAAGGGGTACCTAGGTGGCTCAGTTGATTGAACATCTGCGTTTGGCTTAGGTCATTATCTCAGGGTTGAGGGATTGAGCCCCACATCAGGCTCGGGGCTCAGCCAGGAATCTGCTTCTCCCTCTCCCCCTGCTCATGCTTTCTCTTTCCCTATCTCTATCTTTCTCAAATAAATAAATGAAATCTTATAAGTTTTTAGTGGTTGTATTTGAATTTTCTGTAACACATATGCAGTACTAACCAAGCTTTCTTTCAAATGATGCTGTTCTATTTCACATATATGTAGTACCTTATAACAAGGTATTCCCAGTACTTCCTTCCTGTCCCTTTTAACCTTGCCGTCATTTATTTTATTAATCTGTAAGGTGTAATCACTGGATATATTGTGATTATTACTTTGAGCAAACTATTACCTATTAGATAAGAATAACAATAGGAAAAGATGTTATTTACTTTTATTAATTTCCTGTCTTTATTTATATAGCTCCAAATTTCTGACCTGTATAATTTTCATTCTTTCTGACAAATACCTTTTAACATTTCTTGTAAGATCGGTGTTCCCTCAGTTTGTTTACCTGAGGAAGTCTTTATTTCTCCTTCAATTTTGAAGTTGATTTCACTGAATACAGAATTCTAGGTATATGGATTTTTTTAACTTTTTTTTAAGGCTTATTTATTTTTTTACTAATCTCTGCACAGTGTGGGAATTGAATGCACAACTCCAAGATCAATGGTGGTATGCTTTCTGACTGAGCTATCCAGGGATCCCCGAACTCTTCACTTGACTTCTCTCTTGGCATGGTTTCTCAAGAGAAGTCTGATATAAATCTGGCCTTACTCTTTTATAGGTAATTGTTCCATGCTTGAATGTTCTATTCTTTCAAAATTTTGTTTGCCAAAACTATAATGCAAAAAACATTTTCTACTGACATTTCTGCAAGGTCATTGGTTTCTTGTGTTTTGTTGATGTGACCATTCTAATAAGACCATTAAAGGCATTTTTGCATTTTAGTGGTTTTGATTTATAGCATTTCCTTTTAATTATTATTATTTCCAACTTTCTGCTTATGTTATATACATTTGTTCTTGTATGTTGTCTACTTTTTCTATCAGATTCCGTAGCATATATATTTTTTAAAAAATTTATGTATTTTAGAAAAAAAATTTATGTATTTTAGAGAGTATGCAAGTGAGGGGACAGGCAGAGGGGGAGAACTTACTGAGTGCGGAGCTTGATGCCATTAACCATGAGATCATGACCTGAGCCAAAACCAAGAGTCAGTTGCTCAACCTTCTTGAGGCACCCAAGCACCCCAAGATTGCCTAGCATACTAATCATAGTTTAAAGTTTCCAGTCTGATAATTCTCATATCCCTGCTTATTATACCTGAGTGTAGTTCTGATGCTTGCTCTATCTCTTCTAATTTTGCTTTTAATATGCCCTGTAATTATTTTTGAAAGCTGGACATGATGGTACTAGGTAAAAGGAGCGGAGATAAATATGCCTTTAGAGTGAGGTTTTGTTTATCTGTCTAGAGGAGGCTAGACTCTGTTACTCCAGGCAATCGTTCTAGGTGTCAGAGGCTAAAATTTCCTCTGTTGTCTTTGGTTTTGTCTCCTGTGGTGTTTTGGGTTTCCCTGGTTACTTCTTAAAATCCTAAGACATGTTTTTTTCTGTTTCATTCTCCTTTTGTACAGGAGCCCCACTGATGAAACAGTAAGGAATTAGGGGAATAAGAAGTGCTAATCATAGATTTATGATTACTTTTTAATCTTTTAACCTTTTGGTGTGTCTGCTCTGGGCCTATTTTAGACACTGTATTTTTTAGGTTTTTTTTAGTCCTATGATATCCTTAGGGGAACCTTGGTGGCTCAAGTCATGATGACCTCAGGGTCCTGGGATCAAGCCCCTCCTAGGGCTTTGTGCTCAGTAGGTATTCTGCTCCCTTTGTCCTCCAGCCCCCTTGCTTGTGCTCACTCACTCGCTCAAGTAAAATCTTAAAAAAAATTATTTCTCCTTTGAGATTTTGTTTATTCTGCATGAGCAAATTGTGTCCATTAGCTTTTTATAATAATTGCTTTAAAATCTGTGCTAAATCAACAGTATTTCATATTAAATTTGGTCTCCATTTAATTGCCTTTTGAGCATTGTTTTCCGATTTCTTTATATGTCTGCTAAATTTGGATTGTATTCTGGACATTATAAATGGTACAAACAGAGAGCCTCTGTTGTGTGTTATATTCCCCCAGAGAATTTTTTTTGTTTTTTTAAACAGGTTTGTTTCAGCAGATAGTTAATTTAATTGGTTCAACTGCAAACTCTACTACTCTTCTTACACAGAGCAGTGGCTAAAATATTACATTTATATCCTTACCCGCTATGCCCATAGCCTATGCTATGTATACATAGTTCCAGTCATCTTGAAATATGAGTAGAGTGTATTTTTTTAATGATTTTTGAGAGAGCATGAGGGACAGAAGAGAGGCAGTGAGCAAGAAGCCTGCAGATGGAGCTTGATTCTCAGATCCTGGGATCTTGGCCTGAGCCGAAGGCAGACACTTAAACTGAGTCACCCAGGCACTCCTTGAGGAGAGTTTATATACCAATTTGGGATTTCCTCCTTTGGCTTTCTCCTTTTCAGCATTCCTCCCACGACCACCCTTTTCTGTGTGCTATGGTTGCTTTAAACTCTGCCCTCTGATTCTTCAAGCACCAAGACTGTAGTTTTGTTTTATACAAACTTCTTTCCTCAGGTAGCCACTGGGGCTTGCCCTCAGGCAAAATGCCATGAGTAAAAATTCACTCAGGGTCTTACTATCTTCTAAGTATTGATGTTCTCCAGTTTTTATTTACTTCTGGTCACTTTAGTGCCTTCAGGTAGTTTTGTAATATTTTGCTCAGCGTTTAATAGGCACTATTGGTGAGAGAGTTGGTCTAAGAAACTATTCAGCTGATACTGGATAGTGGCAATTCTTCATATTAGCAGTGAAAGTTGGAATTATAATAGCCTTAAAACAATAACATTTATATGGTACTTTTTTTTTGTCATAAAAGCACTTTAAGGTAGATTATCTGATTCATCATGATTGTTAATGATATACTAGGCAGACACTAACATGTAGTTGCTGGTACATTTAGTGCTAAGAACCTGGGCAGGAAGAGAACTTGAATTCTAAATTGGGTATAAATGTATAACCCAATAAGGTTACTAAAGCAAAAAGCTGGAGAGGAAAATAGTAGTGAAAACTTTAGGTATGCAATGAAAAGCAAAATTTTGTGCCTTTGAGAAGATGAAACCGTCACCAGGTAAATAGGCACCAAGAGTAAATACATAAAATATTGTCTTGCCTACATGTTTTTTTTCAGAGTCTTTTAAAATTTTAGCGTAAGCTTCCTTGGATTCTTAGAAAAGGATTGCCTATTCTCTCCAGGTCACACAGTGTGCCTTTATTGCCCTCTCATTCTTTCTCATGGTATTCATTGTTTCACTGTATTTTTATTCCTTTTAAAACTTTAAAAGATAATCTTTATAATATCACAGTTTGTAATTTTTAAAAATTTACTTAGTTTCTGTTTATTCACTATACTGTAAGCTTCCTGAAGAGAGTGTGTTTCTGTAATGTTCATGTTTGTTGAGGAGTGAAGGAAGACGTGTGTGTACATGCATATACACGTACCAAGGAATGCAAGTAAGAGTCATAAAAATCTATTATACTCAGTCTTAAACCTTTTAAAGATTTTATTTATTCATGAGAGACACACACAGAGAGGCAGAGACATAGGCAGAGGGAGAAGCTCCATGCAGGGGGCCCAATGCGGAACTCGATCCCAGAACCCTGGGATCAGGCCCTGAACCAAAGGCAGACGCTCAACCTCTGAGCCATCCAGGCGTCCCAGTCTTAAACTTTTTAGTACAGTTTTTATTAACCTAGATTTTGAGGGATGTAATAGGCATGAGTTGAAAGTTAATGTGGGAGTGTTCCAAATTGGGAGGAAGAGCAGAGTGGCGAGAAGATTTGGGAAAATTAGTAAAATAATATTGGCAAGAGTTGATAATTATTTTGTATATTAGCAATGAATTTTTTTTTCTACCAGATAAGTGGGAAAAAAATTTTTAAGCTTAAGTCTAGGCAGGTAGATAGTACGGAGTCCCAGAAAATACACAGAATAGGAATAATATGAGAGCAGTTTGAAAAGGATGATTCAGGCAGGTCTTGGGTAGTAAGACACATCAAGTATGGAGACAAGTGATGAAAAACATTCAATGCTTTTTGTTCCTTCTGTGTTTCAGTATTTCAGGGTCCTAAGAGGTTAAGGGAGAGAGTTTAAATCAAGTAGTATAGGCTATTATAATCAGTTACTTTGCAATAAAACTTTCTCCTTCCACAGCTCCTGGATAAGCACAAGAATACAGAAAGCATGGTTGAGCTTCTGGATTTGTATCAGATGGAGGATGAAGCCTATAGCAGCCTTGCAGAAGCCACAACTGAACTATATCAGTATTTACTACAGCCATTCAGAGACATGAGAGAACTTGCCATGCTACGAAGACAGCAGATTAAGGTATTTTTTTCGTCATCTTTTTTTTTTTTTTTAATATTTTATTTATTCATGAGAGACAGAGGTAGAGACACAGAGGGGGAGAAGCAGACTCCATGCACGGAGCCCGATGCGGGACTCGATCCTGGGACTCCAGGATCATGCCCTGAGCCAAAGGCAGACACTCTACCGCTGAGCCACCCAAGCATCCCTCTTTTTTTTCTTTTCTTTTCTTTTCTTTTCTTTTCTTTTCTTTTCTTTTCTTTTCTTTTCTTCCTTTCTTTCCTTTCCTTCCTTTCCTTTCTCTTTTCTCTTTTCTCTTTCTCTTTTCTCTTTTCTCTTTTCTCTTTTCTTTTCTCTTTTCTCTTTCTCTTTTCTCTTTCTCTTTTCTCTTTTCTCTTTCTCTTTTCTCTTTCTCTTTTCTCTTTCCTTTCTTTCCTCTCCTTCCTTCCTTCCTTCCTTCCTTCCTTCCTTCCTTCCTTCCTTCCTTCCTTCCTTCCTTCCTTCCTTCCTTTTTAACCTCCATAGTAGCCTGCTTGTTGCTGGCTGGCCATAGGTGAGCTTTTTAAAAATGTAGATACCTGGTCCTTTCTCTCCAAAGATTGTATTCTGGTCAGTTCAGGTTACACAGAACCTGAGCACCTCATTTTAAAGTATCTCAAGGGTGATTCTGTTGAGTAGCCAGGGATGAGAAGAGCCTAGAAAGTAAAGTTGAAGATACATTGAGAAATCCTCATTTCCTTCCTCCCCCTCTTTTCCTATACTTTTCTTCTCTTCCTCTCCCATTTAATGTTTTGGGGATTGTCTAGTCTTAGATTTCTTTATCTGAAGTTTTCAGAACATTTCTTCTGGGAATACCTTACTTGAAAGTTAGATTTTATTTATTTATTTATTTAAGATTTTTTTATTTACTCATGAAAGACAGAGAGGCAGACACAGGCAGAGAGAGAAACAGGCTCCCTGCAGGGAATCCGATGCAGGACTTGATCCCAGGATCCAGGGATCATGACCTGAGCCGAAGGCAGACACCCAACCACTGAGCCATCCAGGCACCCCAAAGACTGGAAGAATTTCATGTTAGAGCTTAAAAATTGTTTTTTGAAGCTTTATTTTAGGGGTGTGGGAAGTACAGAGGGAGATGGAGAGAGAATCTTAAGTATACTGCATGCTGAGGTTGGATCCTGATGCAGGGCTCTTTCCCAGGACTCTGAGATGGTGACGTGAGCTGGAACCAAGAGTTGGCACTTTAACTGACTGTCACCTGGGCAACCCTTTAGAGCTTTAAAATCTATGATGTTTAATTTTCATGGGTAAAGTATGCATTACACTTTTTGAGGCAAGTGTTACTACATTTTCCTTTTCATGGTGTTCTTTTAGCTACTCTTTTTTTTTTTTTTTTTCTGTCTAATGTCTTTGTGGGAAATGACATAGATACAACCTTAGGTCTGTAAAATGTCATCCTGAAGCTTTGGCAAGGTATCAAGGAATGAAGCTAAAGCTGTATTTATAGAGAAATTTATTGTTAGTAAAGAAGAATAAAGTTTTAAAGCAACCATCCAGACTTTCACCCTAAGAGGGTAGAAACAGAGAGCAAGTTAAACCTCCAAAATTAAGAGTGGGGTCAGTAAAAAACAAAACAGATTTAAAAAAATCTGTGAAACAGGGCAGCCCTAGTGGCCCAGTGGTTTAGCACCGCCTTCAGTCCTGGGTGTGATCCTGGAGACCCGGGATCGAGTCCCATGTCAGGCTCCCTGCATGGAGCCTGCTTCTCCCTCTGCCTGTGTCTCTGCCTCTCTCTCTCAATCTGTGTCTGTCATGAATAAATAAATAAAATCTTAAAAAAAATTTTTAAAAAAAAAAATCTGTGAAACCAAAATGTGGTTGTGTTTGGGAGCAAAAACACTATATTTTATAATTCTAACTGAATTTTTTTTTTTTTTAAAGAAGAGCCACATATCTGGTAGGACTGAAAGTGCATATATCACTGCAGATTCTACAGATTTAAAGTTAATAAAGAAATATGGACAAGTTTGCACCAATAAGTTTTATTTATTATTTATTTATTTTTAAAGGTTTTTTATTTACTTATTCATGAGAGAGAGAGAGAGAGAAAAAGAGAGGCAGAGACACAGGCAGAGGGAGAAGCAGGCTCCCTGCAGGGGACCTGACGTGGGACTTGATCCCGGGTCTCCAGGATCATGCCCTGGGCTGAAGTCGGCGCTAAACTGCTGAGCCACCCAGGCTGCCCTATTTATTTATTTTTAAGGATATATTTTTAAAAATATTTTATTTATTCATGACAGACAGAGAGGCAGAGACATAGGCGCAGAGGGAGAAGCAGGCTCCATGCAGGGAGCCTGATGTGGGACTTGATACCTGGATCCCAGGATCACGCCCTGGGCCGAAGGCAGGGCCTCAACCACTGATGCTCAACCACTGAGCCACCCAGGCGCCCCAAGCTGTGCAATTTAGATGAAATGGATAAATTTTTTGGAAAAAAATGCAAATTATCAAAAAGGATTCACAGAGAAACAGAAGACTGTTGGGAGCCCTATATTAACAATGTTGGGCAGTTCATAATTTAAAGCCTTCGTAATGAGAAATCTACAGGTCCAGATGACATCATTGGGTTTATCAAAGATGTAAGAAAAAAATTATGCCAATTCTACACAAGCTCAGAAAATAAAGGAGGTGGGATGCCTGAGTGGCTCAGTGGTTGAACGTCTGCCTTTGGCTCAGGACATGATCCCGTGGTCCTGGAATCAAGTCCCACATTAGGCTCCTTGCATGGAGCCTACTTCTCCCTCTGCCTCTCTCTCTCCGTGTTTCTCATGTATAAATAAAATCTTAAAAAATAAAATAAAATCTTAAAAATAAAGAGGGAATACTTCCTAACCCCTTTTTATTTAGTGTAGCATTATCCTGATGTCAAAATCAAATGATATTACACAAAAAAAGAACTAGAGACACATGACCCTTATGAATGTAGATGCAGTAATCCTTAATATGATCTTAAAAAATAAGATCTAGTGATCAATAAAAATGATCATACAGTGTGTATGATTAGGGTTTATTTCAAATACAAGTTTCTTTTAACATTCAGAAATAAACCAGTGTTGTTTACCATATTTGACTAAAGGGGAAAAATCAATGTGTCTATGGATGCAGAAAAGCATTTAACAAAGTTCAGTATCCATTCGTGATAAAAATTTAGCATACTACAGGAGGAAAGCAGAATTTCCTCTACCTGATAAAGGGTATGTATAAAAAGCCTACCTAACATCATATATGATGGTGAATGATTAAATTCTTTCCCTCTTTGGGAACAAGGCAAGATTATTTACTCTGACCACTTTATTTTTATTATTTTTAAAACGATTTTATTTATTTGAGAGAGGGAGGGAGTATGAACAAAAAGGGAAAGGGAGAAGTAGATTCTCCATCTAGCAGGGAGCTCAACTTGGGGCTCGATCCCAGGACCCTTGGATCATGACCTGAGCTGAAGGCAGATGCTTAACCAACTGTGAACCACCCAGGTGCCCTGCTCTCACCACTTTAATTCAGTGTTTTTTCTGGAGTTTGTAGCCAGAAAAAGATATATGGCATATAAATTACAAGGACAAAATAAAGCCATCTGTACTTTTAGATCATATGATCGTGTATATAAGATATCCTAAGGAATTTTAAACCAAAAACCTGTTGAAAATGATAGGTAAATGTAGTTACAAGGTCAGTATTAAAATATAGTTTCATTTTCTTTTAGAAATGAAACTGAAGAGGCAACTGGGTTGGTCCAGTTGGTTACGTGGTCTGCCTTCATCAGGTCATGATCCCACAGTCCTGGGATGCAGCCCTGTATCAGGCTCCTGCTCAGTGGGGAGTCTGCTTTTCCCTTACTCCTTCCCCACCGCTCATGCTTTTTCTGTGTCTCTCAAATAAATTTTTAAATGAAACAATTATACAAAAACTTTAAATTACCATTATAATGGTAATTATATATTATATATAATGGTAATTATGTTAATGGTTCAGGCTCTGAACACAAACTCTTTAGGAATATATTCTACAAAATATTTGAAAGTTTTGTACACTGAAAATTATAAAACTTTGCTGAGAGTCATTAAGTGAGTGTACCTTAAGAAATGGAGGAATCGTGTTAATAGTTTGGAAGATTCAGTAATGTTTAGATGTCAGTTTACAGTTTTGTAGATTCAAATTAAAATTCTTTTTTTTTTAAGATTTCATTCATTTATTCACGAGACGCAGGGAGAGATAGGAATGCAGAGACACAGGCAGAGGGGGAAGCAGGCTCCATATAGGGAGTCCGATGTGGGACTCGATCCCCGACCCTGACCCAAAGGCAGACACTCAACCGCTGAGCCACCCAGGCATCCCCAAATTAAAATTCTTTTTTTTTTTTTTTTTTTTAAAGATTTTATTTATTTGTTCATGAGAGACAGAGAGAGAGAGAGGCACAGGCAGAAGCAGGCTCCATGCAGGGAGCCAGACACAGGACTCAATCCCGGGCCTCCAGGAACACAGCCTGGGCTGAAGGCGGCGCTAAACCACTGAGCCACCTGGGCTGCCCCCCAAATTAAAGTTCTAATAGGTTTTTCCCCTTCAGAAACTGACAAGCTAATAAGTGTTTATGGAAAGACAAAGGATGGCTTTATAACAACTTTGAAAAAGATGAAATTGGAGGACTTACATTACCTGATTTCAAAATTTACTAAAAAGCTAGAGAAAACCAGTCATTGTAGTATTAGCCTAGATGGAATTGTAAATCAATGGAAGAGAATAGAATCCTGAAATAGATGCATGGTTACATAGTAAGGTTTTCATGAAGGTGATAGAGCAGTTCAGTGGGGAGATAGAATAATCTTTGCAAGAAATGCATACCTACTACAATTGCATGCCCATATAAAAAATTGATCTATGTCCTTATACCATTTACAAAAATTAACTTGAAATCCATCTTAGACTTAAATAGAATCTCTTATGTTCTAAAACTTAAATAAGAGGGG